AACGATCCAAAATATGTCTGGTCTCGGAGGCTGTGTGACGTAAAATCGTACCGCGTGATCGTCAACAGTTAAATACATCATTAGAGTGGTAGACGGTGTTCCATATCTTGTACGTCACGAACATCARTCCTTTCCAACCATATTCGATGCTTGCAAAAATATTGTTCGGCGAATAGTAAAGACTATAATATATTAACGACCAACATAATCGAGATGGAACTCAGATAAAGCATAATGATTGATGTGGTAGATATTTTGGCCAAGAAATTTAATGGTTCCGGGGTCAAGTATTTGGTATAAACCTGTAACCCTGGCCAACCTTATGTTGAAAACATGTAGGTTCTACTCATTCCAAATGTCCATCGAAATAATAATATTATTACAGAAGCAAAATAATAAYATTGTTATATAACTGTATTGTGATGTATATGTCCAGACGATCGTCTGTTGACAAACATAATTAAGTGTCACATTAAGTTTTCTCGTAAAAATGAATTAATATAGATACTAAGATACATAATATTATAATAGGTACCCCCCAAAAAATTTTTATCATAAATCCTATATATATAAATAAAAACATTATATTATGGGCTAAAAACCAAATGTATAAAAAACTCTTATTTTTGAAATGTACRCATACAACTTTACAGTTATTTAAAACGTTTTCTAGTTGATGAAATATTACATTAGGTATTCAAATATGCCTATGTTAATATTGATATGAAATAAATAAAAAGATATTGAAGTTTTATGAACATAGCGGTCATAACGTAAAACAGTAGGTACATACACGAGATCGGTGATAGCGTATAAAACTGTCTGACTGCACGTCGTTGGTGAAATGATGCGTCGTTAGTATTAAATGAACAAAGGTCCTTATAGCTGAAAATATATAATTTATTTAAAKGTGTGTACTTAACCAAGAAATTGTGTATACTTCAACGATTATGTGACGTTTATCCTAAATTCCTAGAATTCCAGTGTTACTCATATCGTGTACAAAAACATAACATATAATAATTGTATAATATTATTATGTCTAATGCAACTGAAATTTTAATGGGTATTAAATTATTTACCGTTCCAAAATGCATTTGTGTATTATTAACTTTCTATACATAACATTTCTAAACCATATAGACGACAAAGTTTATAAAAATTCAATAAATTTAAAAAGGGTTCACTGGCTCACTGCATCATCTATATAGTATATATACCGTCAATGCTTATATGCATATGTGGTATATATGACGTATATTCGAACATAAATAATGCATTTTATCAGGAATGTTAATCGATAGACTTTGAAGTTCGGGTTAACAGTGTTTATGGAAAAGACAACAAGTTCGTCTTTGCAGCACATGATAATTAATTATTTAAGTTTATAACTATGTGATTGAAATCAGTTGAGCAAGACGATCAATATAGATATTGTATTTAGCTTGTGAAAGTTTAATTTTAATTTTTTAAGTGTATGGTTTATTGGTTTTATATTTAAAATTCTCTATAGAAGAGAGAATTTGTATTTTTTAAATAAAATATACTACCAACTGTCATCGGATAAAACTTCTAAAACTTCTAAAATTTACTAATTATGATTTATTTTCATAGGACAGGATCTGGCTGCAGTCCTTTTTTTCTATTGAACATCGGTCGCATCATCTGTATTTATTTTGATTTGTTTATGCACACTTAGAAAAACGGCCTACACGCCTATGGGTGGTGACGTACCTATATTAGGTATATCACTGTATATGTATACAATTAATATACTATTTATAAAATATACGCCATCTGTATTCGGGTTCTCACGATTGCTAGATTATAAAATGATATAATATTATGTATAMTGTTTGCAACAATAATATATTTTGGTAGTGTATTATCTGTATTATTTTGTTTATTATTACGTTTCAAAGTACAGTTTTGAAAATAATATTAACATTATAATATTATTTTTTACCTTAGACACTGCAGATAGAAACGGGAAAGTCTGCGTATCGAGAAAAATAATGAGTAACCGTATCATTTTTTTGTGTTATAATTGACTTTTGGGCCAGAAGGTCCATATAGCGATCATTAATTTTTATATTTTATTTTTTGTTGCTTTGATTATTTATTTGTATAGGTACTAGGCACTAGCTGAACCCGTGCACTTCGTAGCCCGTTAAAAATCATACTTCTTATGGGTATGTTTCAAATTGTGTGTTAAATTCGTTACTTGTGATTATTCTAGCAGTATATTTTAATTCATATAGATAGATAACGGTTAAAAAATATAAGTAATAATCTTACAACGAAATTGAATTCAGCTTATCATTTTGTAATTTTATTCGTTTTATACTTTTACTATCGAGAAAAATCTGACAATTTTATTCAACTATTCGAGATTGAATGATGTTTATTGACAATAGCTTTATTATTATTATTATTATAATTTTAATAATAATTTCCTTCGCACAAATTTATATTATTATTGAAACTAATAGCAGTCATCTATAAACAAAGTCTTCCATCGTAAATTTCAATGTGCCTGTTTGAGCACCTCTCTCTTTCACACACACATAATATATTGTACATATACACATTTACACACCTCATCACAGCAATTATTGCTCTTACACTGGTCTTGCACCGCCAAGACGGGATGCGCCCCACCCCCTTCCCCTGACTTCGAGACGCAGCCACCCGAAAACCCACACTCAGCCGGGGCAGCCGTCAGAGCGTCGCCGACGACAAGTCGGACTTAGCGGCTGTTTGGAGCGTGCCGCCGTCGTCTGCAAGTCGCGCGCGTGCCGCTTATCGTTTAGCGCGCGTCAGTCGCACCACTGACACGGCACCGAGTCGTACAATATTATATACGTATACACATAACTACACTCATTATATTTTCAACGAAACGTCCGCCATGAAACGACAGCGGTCCGCTTCGCGTCAACCGCGTCGGTGTTGTCACCGGTGGACGGCCGTCGTAGCGGTCGTCGTCGTCGTCGTCGTCGTCTTTCTGGCGGCCACAGATGGCGGCCACACCGGGGCTGCCGGACGCCGAGTGTACACCGCACCGCTGGACGACACGGGCCGGACGGCCGTCTACTGGACGGTGGACTACGGGTCGCGGTCGGTCAAGTTCGAAGTGCACTTCGCGGCCGGCGGCGGCCCGTTCGACTGGCTGGCGTTGGGCTTTTCGGGCCGCGGCAACCACTCGGGAGCTGACTTCTGCGTCATGTGGGTCGACTGGAAAGGCGTCACAGCAATGTTGGTGAGTGCAGTGTCGTTTGGATGGGAGCCATTTATGTTTAGGCGATTGTATACTCTTACAAATTACCCAACGTATATAGCCACCGATAATATTATTATTGTTCCCAATATAGCTCTTTTWTTTTTATTATTATTATTATTTAAATAAGGCTTCAACTCCTGAGGTTATTAGCCTGTAACGATTACAAAATAGTGGTAATAGGTCTTAAAACTATGGGGATACATTATGTTGAGGGAGTTTATAGAATATATGTACATTTGGTTATTTTTCTAAATTAGTTTTGC